TCGTTAGCATAGCTAGCTAACCAGATGCTAATAACAACAAAGTTATTGACTGTATGATCAGTATGACAGATGAACAGATCGCCACTGGGCTTACAACTAAGACACAGCCACGCAAAAACTGCAGCATGTGTACGGCTCCTTATGGGTACTGCAATTTTTGGAAGTGCCGGAGCGGAGCGGCGTTCTGGTGCTCTCCGTCAGAACTACACCCCTGTAGACGAGACATATACCACGTGATGACACGTTAGGCTTGTGTTGTGTTCAAGTACCCTGACCTTGGCCAGGAAAAACAGGCACTCACTTGTTTAATTATTTTGCGGTCTAGATTTCTTTAATTTTTTTTAATTAAGCGTGCAAAGCACGTCTTGCATATGCACGCGATAAGGTCAAGGGTGAGGTTTACGAGTGTCGACGGAGGTCAAAATAAAGCAAAACCGGACATTTAATTAATATGTTATAACAAGTGAATGCCAGTAGATCAGCGCCGGCCATGCATTTGTCTCTCGTGGGCCGGATCTGGCCTGCGGGCCGCTAATTGGGGTTGGCTGGTGTATGTAGACAGTTTTTAAGTAGTAACAGAATACGTATTTTTGCAGGATCAACTGTAGCCGTTAAAGTCCCCTCATCCTCCACTTTGCACTAAAGCACACTGGGTAGCCTTCCTTTGGATGTAAAGCAGGTCAATATTATGTTGTTGTGAAGGAATGATGATGACACAAAATAATGCAGTCTAACACAGAAGCCCAAACCCAATTGAAAAAATGAGGTTTACAAAACATAATAAACTCCCACTATTATACAAGTCTACTGCGTAGTCAAAATAACCATAACGTTGAATCATCGCCTTTGTAACTGTTTAAAAGTATGTGCTAAAGTTCAGGAAGATACAATATATGTATCAGACTGTATGAGCTTTACATTGGTTTACCTAAACTTAGAACTTAGTACTGTGTTTGATTATTCTCCCCTTTCAATCGTTAATGGCACATTTGGATGAATAATATTTTATTTATCGTCACTATTTCTACTAGCAACAATGCAATTTGATCGTGATAGCAGCTGAGAGTTGTCGAACCAGTGACTGTGATGCAGAGATGGAGTACTCGAGTGCCGATTTTTGGGACTCGTGACTTGACTCGGACTCGCGCACTGATTGACGCGACTCGGACTCGGACTCGTGAATTCTCACGCACGATGACTTGGACTCGGACTAGGACTCGAACACAGGTAATGATGACTCGTACTCGGACTCAGCTCGGACACTCCTTGGATGACTCGGACTTGGACTCGTACTCGAGCAAGTTTTCTCTGGAGTCTGATGTCCTCTGTGTCCTGGCGTGTGCACCTGTGAGGCGAGTTCACGTACTGGGCGCGCCCCCGCTGCTATACCAGTCTAAAGATGTCCAGAGACACACCCCGCATCGTGCTGTATGCTTTTAAAGATTTTGTTTCCATATTGGGAAAGAGCAGCGCAAAATGCACATTATGTGGACAGAAGATAGAAGAGAAGACTGGGACAACGTCGAATTTCAATCGGCACCTTTCACGGCGGCACCCAGAAAAGTAAGTAGAAATGCTATTGTTAGCTTGCTAACCCACGTTAACGTTAGCCACTAAATTGACTCCACAAAGGTTTTAAAAATGTCGGGTTAGATGGAGGTAGGGGTTGATATCACATCCTGGGACCAAGTGCAGTTTTATTGTCTAGATAGATACTGTTAAAAAGCTATACATGTCCTTGGTGATACTGCAGATGATGAGTAGCCTAGCCCTAGCCTACAATGAACGTGAAAATTAGAGACTGAAAATGATCTCCATCACGGAGGCTCCATAACACATTACTCTAAGGATGGAGTTCATATATATATATATATATATATATATATATATATATATATATAGGTAGGCTGTATTGAACACTATCATCAGAGTAATGTGATCAAATCAATAAGTAAAGATTCAGCCGATAACATGAAAGCACATGGCTACTTAACATGCAGAATGTCGTCATTGTGCATGCTAAGTAGCAATGTGCTTTCTGGGGCTTAATCTTTATTGATATCATTTAAACGTTCACTTATTGGTTGTTGGACATTGTGATATTATTAAAAGCAATGTAGAGGAGCTACAGCTACATTTCAACACATATATCCACTAAGATTAATACATGAAGACTTGTGACTCGGACTTGACTTGGACTCTTCTTAGGTGACTCGGACTTGGACTCGGACTCGAACACAGGTAATGGTGACTCGGACTCGACTCGGACTCGGACACTCCTTGGGTGACTCGGACTTGGACTCGGACTCGACTACGACTCTCCCTAGGTGACTCGGACTTGGACTCGGACTTGAAGAGTGGGGACTCGAGAGTGACTTGGACTCGTGAATTGGTGACTTGACTACAACACTGCTGTGATGGAAAGGTGAGTTTTATAGTTGTCTGATTGAATGTCTGTACTGAACAAGTGCACCAGATCTCTACTTTAAATCTATCAAACATAACCATTTTGAAACTTTAGATTTATTGAATTGCCTCATTATCTACATTGTGGACACTTGTCACTTGTAACACCCTTCTTTAAACCTTATTTCAACACTTTTTCCACCAAACAAGTAAACCAACAATGACTGAAGGAGTGAGTAAAACAGTACTGTAGATAGATGTAATTGTAAAGTGGGCTGTCCACTGACAATGACTGTAATAAAAAGCAGCACCAATACCATGACTCGCAGATAGCTGTAATGGACTCTAATTACTTCACCCTCTGCACAGTTCCATGCATGAAATAAAAACACTCTCCTACACCCGTAGAGGGAGGGTTGACAGCTTTAGACAAAACAATGGGAAAGCAGCAGGCATCATTTGGTAGAGATACTGTGGAGGGGACAGAAAACTAAGCTACGGACACAGGGGAGGGATGGAGGAAGAAAGTCTGATTGTTGAAAAGGCTAGTACCGGGTCTTAGCCTTGGTTTCCTTTGCTCACAAAGTAGCTCTGTTTTCATGACTTTTCTTTGTGGTGTATGTCTAAAGAACTTTCTACTCCCTGCTGGAGTCATATCTCTTTCACTTTACTATACCTGTCTTACTCTGTTCATTTATCTCTTCCTGCCTCACTCCTTTCTTCTTCTTCTGCTCCGTCCTTCTCTGTCAGACTGTCTTCCTGCTCCTCTCCTATCCTTACTTTCTCTCTCCCCATGACTTAACCAGTTGAGCCCTGAGCCTGTTTTTCAGGCCTCAGGCTCGAAAATGACATTCCCATAACAATTGACTATATCTTCACTTCTAAAAGGGGTCAATTAATAATCTTTTTTCTCAAAGCAATGATAAACCTGTGAGTTGGATGTAGAAAAGTCAGAATCAATAGTTTATTTTAATTTTAAAGTAAATTCAGATTGAACATAGTAAAAAAATGTAATTTATAGTGTCCGTCCAAAAAAAAAAAACACCTTGAAAACCACCCTTGAATGATGGGATAGTATACTAAAAGCTTTAGGAATCCAAACTATAACATATTGAGTACCCTGTATCAAGATTGATGCAAAATAAGTGACATTTGACCTTTTTAGAGAGATTTAGAAAAAAAAAAACACTTCTGGGTTCATTTGGGTGCATTTCCCATTTCTTTGGCCCCCCTCGGTCGATTTTGATGATTGACACCTTTTTAACCGTTAGAGCCAATAGAATCGAGGGGAAGTTCCTAAAATCCATCTAAACATTACCCATTGGTGAATAGAGTGATGCGTAGCCAGAATGCCCTGGAACCGGAAGCTGTCATACACTCTAGTAGCTATCGTAGCAGCTAATATGAAATCTCCGTTATTGACATAAAAATGGAATGATGGATTATCAGTAGTCATTTCAAAGTGACAGACACATTGGATTAACCTATGGATTAACCTTCAGCAGTGTTGTTCTCGTTTTAATGCCATTGAACACAACATTTGATCAGAAAACAACAAAGGTAAGACGTTTTTAGCCGTTTTGGCTCCATAAAGCTAATTGTTGTTGTTTGTTGTCGTTTCGCCGCGAGTTCTGATCGCTCAGTGATACTTATATGTCTGGAATCTCTGGAATTTCAGCTTGCTAATCGATATCTTGTTTGTGCAGATCCGATAAGTAATAAGGGTATTTTAACTTGAGTTCTGTGATAAGTGAGTCAGCATTTTTGCGCTCAGGGCTAATTCAGAGCCTTTGTTATTACCCTTTTTCTTTCGTTTAGCTAAAAATGGTTAATATTGTCTGATAGCTGAGTTTCTTCCCGTTAAGTGGGTTTGACACATTCATAGTTTGTTAAATATTAAGAAGCCCTCAGACGCGGGGCCGTGGGGTTTAACTGGATAAACAGAAAAGGAAGGCTTGCCGTCCCAGGGAGATCTATTGCTTCTTTAAACCCTTTCATGGTTTCCCCTCGGTTTCTCTCAATGGTCCTCTCAACTCAGCCCCTCTTCCCTAGATAAGGGTGATAAGCCATCAGCTGAGTGTGGATGTGAGTGTGTGTGTCCAAGCATGCAGCATCTGAAGCTCTTTTGAATAGTCTGTGAAAAATTCACTCCACCACTCTGACTTTAGCATAAAGGGACAGAGGCCAAGACAGAGGAAATACTTCAAGCCTGACTGACAGGTCTCACTGACTCTGTAAGGTTTCATGGATCGGGGAAAGATTCATTTGAACTGGCTGACTGGAGCTCCGGCCATTACCTTCAGATTGTTGGAGCATGCAGCACAGTCACAAAGCCATTTCTGATGTATTGCAAGTGTGTGTGTGGGTGTGCATGCATTGATTTGTGCGTGTTTTGCATGACAAAAATATCATATTTTATCACTGTATATAAACATTGACGTTTCATGACTTAATCTTCCAAAGTTGTGATCATACTGCACTGAAACTTAAATGTAATAGTTGAAATGTGAAGTGTTTTATACATCATTTTTGCAGGACAAAAGTCAAATCTATATGTGTTCATGTTCATGTGAGCTGTGCATGTGTCCTCTCACCACTTGCTGTAGCTGTGTGCCGGGCATCATGGCATTGGCAAGCTGCATCTGCTGGGCGAGCATTGCCATGTTTTTCTGCTGGATAAGGTTGTTCCTTCCATTGATCTCCAGTTGGGTCTTTAGGTGGGGAGGAGGATGCAGGTACTTACAGTTCTCCCTCGAACAACGGCCCTGATGGGGTGTGGTAGGAGGAGGAAGTAGGACAGAGGTGAGGAGGATAAAGGAGGGAGGGATAGATAATATAAAGGAGGGATAGGGAAATAGAGACATGGAAAGAGCATGATTAGAATAGCGTTTCCTTTCACTGTTGCCTAATGTAAAGAAGTAATGAGCCTTGACCAAAGTGGCTGCCCTCCGATTTAGCAGGCTCTGACCCTGCCACTGGCTTTGTCGTAAAGAAGACCGATCAGCTCTGCTTTCTCTTCCCCCCTCATAAACCTAGCTATGTGCTGGCTAACTTTCCCTTTTTTAAGACAAATAAAATATATTAATAATGATAGTAATATATTTATTTATATATTTAATATATTTAATTACATGTTTTAATTATTTTTATTTTGAATACACACCATTACATTGTTACATATTGTGAGACATTTGTAGTTGCTTACAATACAGACTGCATCAAAAATATTGACAAAATAAAAAATAAATCAGCCCACAGAGAGTACAAATATTGGCATTTTCTGGATAAAACAGCAATTTTTAATACTGAAAATGTCAGAAATGGACTCAGCATCCTCAATAACCCCGAAAACCACTTGGAAATTGTCCAAATCGGGCCAAGCCATCTTTTAGCTATTGTCCATAGCATAGGCTATAACGGTAATTCATGCTAATCAACACAACTAATTGTTCAATTTGCTCAACATATGCAAGTTAGCATCCAGCAGTTTCTTATGTGCTGGGGACCTGTACTATACATTTCTAACATACAACGTTGGGGTACTCAACATTTCACAGCTGGCAACCTGAATGCTGATTGTCGTAATTTGTACATCTTTGGTGCAGATTGCGTAAAAAAATAACTCTTATCGACTTCTTGCCAATAGCTCAATAGACGATGATGATACGTTAGGAAAATGCCTGGATTGACATCATTAATGAAAATACAACAACATATTTTTACTGTTGATGGAGTATCAATCAGTAGTCGACCAATGATTGTTTCTGTCTTTTCATATTCAAAAGGTATTTCTTCTTTATTTGAGACAAATGATGGTACAATGAAAGGAGGCACAAGTTCAAATCATTGGCAATATATATTTTTGTATAACCATAAAGACAAGAAAATAAAAGTAAAGACAAGCTTCTCAACTGAACTTCTCTTGCATTGTTGCTCTAACACAGAAAAGGGATTGTTTTGAATTTCAATCAGCCCATAAGACCCACAATCCTCTATTATTTCGCTTCCGAAGCTGTCCTTGTTGATGCTGAATGTTTGACATGGCCCTCAATCACAATTGATTTCTACACTCTAAAAACGAATTCAGGCGATTGTGATTACCATGGATTTTATTTTATTTCAAGATGTTTAATTACGTCGCTAAACTCCTTGAAAAGGTCCTCTTCCTTTTCTCCGAGGTACACGACAAGGCAGCGGATGGCTATAGTTCTCTGCATACTTCAATTGTATTGTGCTATTTTTGAAAAAGGAAAAAAAGAGAAATTACCTAAATGAATATATTCTGAATGGGTGACTGCCAACAACTTGCTTTTCAATGACAACTCTAAATAACGATCCTACCTCAAGAAGCATGTCCTTGATCTGCTTCACGAGATTCATTTTTAATAGAAAGCGATATCGCAATAGTAACCAAAGTATTTTTACTCTCACAGTAGCCTCTACTACTTTGTATCCTCTCACAGAACTATTCACAGTTCAAAGGCTGCTAATTTTGGTCAAACAGCAATTTGCCTATACAGTGCAACTACAAGGCTATCTGTATTTGAATGACAAGAGATGACACTCACCTTAAAATGTCCTTTGTATGTTTCTATTTGTCTTAACTGTTGGAACTTGTCCAGGCATGTTAAGTGGGAGTGGACTTGAAATCCTTAACTCAAGGTGTAGAACAATTAAGTTATCAAGCCAATTGCATTACTTACTACAACTTGAATTTAGTTTCAAGTCAATTAACGCAGAAATCAGAATTCAAATGACACACAATATTAAGTTGATGTAATTACCAACATTATTACGTCAACACAACTTATAAATTAATGTTTGCAACTTCAAATGTTTATCTAAATCAATGAACTCACATTTTTATCTTGCAACCATGCATTTAATTAAGTGGAAGTGAAAGGTCGCCTGAATTTGTTTTTAGAGTGTAGGCAGTGCAGTGTGGGTCTGGGTCCTCTGAGCTGTGGGCGATTATATTCCTCTAGCAGCCAGCAGCCCGAGGGGAGTAGGAGGGAATGTAATTTACACTCTCATAATGCCTGCGCCACTGAACACTCCCCCAGATATGTGAAATATGTTATATATCTCCGTCTCTTTTTTTGCTCTCCTTTTCCCCTTCATACCCTCTTGCCTCAATCCCCTGTACATTTCCATCCCCATACTGATGTGTTATTCTCCTCATCATGAATACAGAACAGTCAAGGTGCAGAAGTGCTGCTGTGATCTGTGCATGCAAACATGTTCACGCATGTGTGCAAAGCTGAAGTACCCTCACTCTGCTTTTGTTGCTTCCACCCTTTCTTCTTTCTCGACTCAATCTTTGCTCATCAAAATGAATCCTCCAATGCGTCTTTTCCTATTACTTCTTTATATTAATCTATTTTCAAGGGATGGGGAAAACAACCCGGGGACAACTACACAGTAGCACCTCCCATGGGGAATTAAAGGTTGGCTGTCATGCTACAGTTTATCTCAGTGAGATTACCTGGTACCCATTTCTGCCCACTATGACACCTGCTTTCATAAGCCAACACATGCACTCTCCCACTCTTCCTCTCTTCTTCCCAGCCCCCCCTTATTTTTTCTCTATATTGCCTCTCTCTATCTCTCATATTATCTTTATTTCCGCATGCAGCATGTTCTGCCTAGCTACAGCAGGAAATATACTTTCTATTGGAGAGCAGCACAATGTCAAGAGTTCTTCCATTTTCATTGGCTGAGAGCTGAAAGTGATAGCACTCCCAGCATGCTGATTGGCCTATGAGGAACACATTAACAGTGCTTACTCTGTCTACATCCCAGTGTGTGACTATTGATCAGCGCTAATTGGTTAATGTCTTTTGATTTACAATGCCACACTTTCCCCCTGGGTGACTAGACTCTAAAGGCCCAGACACACCAAACTGACACCAAAGAACACGTCCCGAGTCGGGACTCACGACAGACCCGATTGTTGTGTCGCCTCACGTCTTCTGCATCATCGCCAACAGTCGCACTGGAACACACCGCAAAGACTTCAGCCGACGGCCTTTAGCCGACAGCCTACCGATTCAACATGTCGAATCGGCGGCGGAAGGTGTCGGCACGGCCGAAAAGACACGACGGTGCATTACACACCAATCTGAGTAGGGCGACAGGACGCTCATCGACGGCCAGACATCTATCGACATCGAAAATCGGGCCGGTGTGTCCGGGCCTTAACATGTCAACTCCAGCTGTGAGTGTATGTCACTGTGACAATTGAAGGCAATCTCTTTATTGATTTGCAATGGTCAACTTTAAGGCAGCTATATACTCAATATTTGTGTTATTTATATCATTTTAGATCCAATGAGTACAGCATGTATAGTTTAAAGGGGGCCTTGTCAAACCTAAAAAAAATCACAGTGTTGTCTGAACAGTTAAATCCTGCATGTTTAGTCCCAATTGATCAGTGCCTGGGATGTCCTTGCTTTCCCTTCCCCTTTTCTCTGCTGTTCACGGCTGTCCAAACAGTGTCAGAATAGGTTAATTGTGATCCTGTCTGATCCAAAGCAGTGCTCCCTCTGGCTAAAAGTGTTGACTACCAGACTCCATTCTTGTTGACTCTGTTTTACCTTCACCTGTTTGCCAGTCCTCCGCCGAGACTCTAATAGGCTAGCAGTTTCCCTCCCATCCTACCTTTCAGGTCATTGTCTGGACTGATCAGTTTTCCCAGCGAGCCATTTCACCAAACGACATTAACATCCTTTTAACATGTCAGGGCAAGGTTTTTGTGAACAGCCTTCACATACGGGGATCACCAAATATAGACTGAAACTTGAACCTTATTATTTATTTTTTTAGTTGGCAAACCGTTTAAAGAAAGTGAACCAGCTGTCTCAGTCCCACTCTTAAGAGTATGTGTTTGCATGTGCACACAGGGAAATGGAGCATTCTGCACTTATAAATCAACTTGGCCTCATTACACCAGATACCTTTCGGCCATATGTCAACTCCTAGATAAATATGCACACACACTGGCAGGCAGGCAGACACTATATGCACATAAACACACAACACAGACACACACATTCACTAATTCTTACTTTGGGGGGACATAATGGTGTTTTTGTTATAATTGAATGAAACAAAAACACTCGGCTACATATACATATATACATAAATGTATAAATACACAAAATACACACGTGCTTATACATGTCCTCACCTTGAATAAACTTTAACTTGAATAACATCGGCAGCCTTTCCACTGCAGTTTCAAGTTTCACATGTGGCTGGTTCTGATTTTGGCAACAGCATGGTTTTATTCAGTATCACATAATCCTCTATGAAAAGGTTACATCAACAAGGCTGTCCAAAAAATACTGTAAGGCAGAACAGTTTGCACTTGATTTTCTTAACCCTTTTATCCCCACCCAAGTCGAGAATTCTTACTAATACATTTATAACATGTACTTTTTTACATGTATTGTTTTTAAATGACAGTCTGTGAAAGTTCTTCTTGGTGATAGTCAGCTTACAGGTTGTGGTAAAAAGGCTGATCGTGATTTGGGAAATGTGCAATGTAAAATAGATAATGAAAGAAAAGGTACACAAAATAAATCACATTTTCAGCAAAGCGGTGATACCCTAAAGACACATTTTTACAAGTGTTTTAGACGCTGGTCATTATCATTTTGTCATCCTTTTATCCATCTATTCATTCATTCGTTTGGACTCAGAAAGCATAAGATCAACTGGTTTATCCTGTTTTGTTAGGCTAATTATCTATTTGATCGAAATC